AGAATTCCTCTGCGTAAAATAGATTCTTTTTGAAATAACTGTTCCTTTGTTGGAACCCAAACGTAAAGTTGCTCGAATTCCTGAAATTTCAATTATGATTTAAATTGCACTGACTTAGTGATGGAACTCCACATCATACTATACTCGACATGCTTGAGGTAAATTAATAATTATTTATCGTGCTTTTTTGTTCATTTTCGTTGTAGTTATCGTGTTAATACAGCATGTTTAAATAGATAAGTAACTTTTAAATGCAACTTCTAGAAATGATCTCAACGGTGATTAGAAAATTGATTTCATTACTAAATATAAGATAAATGTTCCACCTGTAGTCGAAGATTCAGTTCTGGGTAGATGCAACAAGTAGACTTTATAAAGTATCAAGTGTATCATCTCAAGTGTATTTGAGGCATCTTTTGATAAAAAACGTATTAATGTACAATTCCTCGGTTTCATAGATTCCGGTGAAACGGCTTAGGGTTGTTGAACTTACCGGCGATCAATCGATGTCAGGGGAACCATAAAATGCAACTTGTTATGTACCAAATCTCCCGTCGTCCCTTCAAAGGTTACAACCCCACAAGGACTTGAATTATATGTCGTCCGTTTATTATCGAGTCTTGTAAAAGAATACTTGAAATAACATCAAAGTTAATTCATCTCTGTGCACTAATGCAGAGATTTTTAATTATCCTTTGCTGGACATAGTAATTGAAATGCAATTAACACAAAAGGAGATTATTCTAATCCCTTTGACGTTATTTAATCCTGCGGACACTATTTTTGCGCGGTCGACAACGACTGACATTTACGTACACATATGAGAATAAAATCAATTTAGATGTTGCTGATTTGGGATATTTAAACAATACTCATCACTTAATTAATATACAGAGAATCTCCCGTCGCCCCTTCAAAGATTACAACCCCACAAGGACTTGAATTATATGTCGTACTTTTATTATCGACTCTTGTAAAAATATACTCGAACAACAAATTAATTCATCTCTATGGACTTATGCAGAGATTTTTAATTATCTTTTGTTGGACATAGTAATCGTAGTGTAATTAACACAAAGGGAGATTATTTTAATCCCTTTGACGTTATTTAATCCTGCGCACACTATTTCTGTGCGGTCGACAACGACTAACATTTACGTGTACATGAGAACAAAATCAATATAGATGTTGCTAATTTGGGATATTTAAACAATACTTATCACTTAATATATAGTGAATTTCACTTAAGATGCATTATACAAGAATACATTTCCATAGAAACTAGGGGGTACCTACTTACTTTGTTCCAGATAAAATACAACATGTCAATATAATTTGATATTACATTAAAACCTCTCTATAATGGATCAATACGGGGAACGTAGTATTTGTTATAGCTCAATAAAACTATACAACAATCTAAAAGCTGAGTAACAAATAAAACTAGACTAACACTAAACCTATATCTAGAAACATTGCGTTTAGCAGTGCGATTCTTAAAACGGCTAAACCTGAATGTTTCTACTTCTAAGTCTAACGTTAGTTCTAGTGATAGTGGTAGGTAGCGCTAGTTAGCATATTATTAAGATATGTTGCATATTTCTATTGTATTAAAACTAGAACTAACACTAGACCTAGAACATTCTATACGATACTTTCTAGTTCTAGGTCTAGTGTTAGTTCTAGTTTCAGACTAGCACTATCACTAGAACTAACACAAGACCTAGAGCTAGAATCATTCGGGTTTAGCCGTCTTGAGAGACGTGCGGTTTTGGAGAGACGTTTGCTGAACATTTACAATTGAACTAAAATTAGAACTAAAACTAGAACTAACACTAGAAACTTTGGGGTTTTGCCCTGCGTCTTTTAAGAAAAGATTTGACGTTTCGGATGCCATGTTGCAACCTTTTTCAGAAACTGGTTCTAAGTGAACTGTGCTTTTCTTAAAAAACGCAAGTAAAACTCGAAGTTTCTAGTCCTAGTTCTAATTTTAGTTCAATTCACACCGGCCGTGAAACCCTTCGTACTTAGCTTATATAATAATTTTATATACGCTGTATAACGATTATCGTTCTCGCTGTGTATACCAACCCAGTTTATAAAACATAATGGTTTTATTANTTGGGATATTTAAACAATACTTATCACTTAATATATAGTGAATTTCACTTAAGATGCATTATACAAGAATACATTTCCATAGAAACTAGGGGGTAGCTATTTACTTTGTTCCAGATAAAATTCAACATGTCAATATAATTTGACATTACATTAAAACCTCAATATAACGGATCAATACCTAAATCCGAATGTTTCTAGTTCTCGGTCTAGTGTTAGTTATAGTTTTACACTAACACTATCACTAACACTAGACCGAGAACTAGAATCATTCGGGTTTAGCCGTCTTGAGAGGCGTGCGGTTAGTTCTAGTTTTAATTGTTATTCAGCAATAGATTGTGGTTTACTTTCTTTTCCAAACAAAACTTTTCCTTTCCAAAACTACCCAATGCCTGTACTGTTAAGCTATTTTGTATTTTATGTGGGACAGTGCACAAGTGCATAGTAGTTTTATAACTATGATTACTGCATTCATATATTGCGAGTTAATTATGCCTCTTTTATGCCCTTTGTTTACCATTTATACGTCCTTGTTGCACAATTGTATCATATATTGTAATGTCTACACGTATGCGGATTGTGTGTTTACAGGTTTTTTCAAACAATCAATACCTGTAAACACACAACAGAGCAACAATGCTAATGCTGAATAAAGATATACTGAATATAACAAAAATGAGACCGAACAAACATAATAATACAAGTATTAATAACAAGAATAAAATGGAAACCCAAACTCAAACAAAGATCACAGACTTCTTACCACATACAGAAACGTTACATCAGAATAATTCGAACGAGTCAGACATACAAACTGTTGCAGATAGAGATAAAATAAGTAAATTCTATAAAATATAATATATAATTTTTAAGAAACATGAATTTCAAGAAATCAAGTTAGCACAATATAACAATAATAAATTAACCAATATTTTGAGTAATATGAAAGATAAAATAGACAAGACTGACAAGATTAATACCATATATCAATTAGAATGTAATAACTGTAATAAGGTGTATATAGGTGAAAGTAAACAACAATTACATAATCGTATAACACAGCATAAATACGATACCAATCAACACAAAATTAATAATAAAACACCCTTTGCCAACATGCAATCAAGAATCGCCATAAATTTAACGCCTAAAGTGTTGACCACTGAAGAAGATACATTCAACAGAAAGAATATTGAAGCCATCTATATCACCAAAAACATTAACAAGTCAGTTAATTTCAAATCAGATTCAGGAAATATAGGCAGTTATTATGCAGGCATAATAAACAAACTAGATATATGATTAGTTATTAATTATTTGTAATTTTAGACAACTGATATTTTACTGATCTCTATTAATTTACTAATATAAATTATAATTTTATATTTTGTTGATAATTATGGATATTAGAAAATTTAAATTTGTAAGTTTGAAATCGAATTGTATCGATTTCCGTAGAGCACATTGTTAAAGAAAAACTGGTTTCCGTCGCGAGTTTTCCTTCTTAAAGTCGCTAGGTCCATACGAGCACGTTGAATTACGTTGTAATTTGAAAATATAATAATAAAGAAATTTGAGATCATGGAAAATACACAATTTAACGACGAAATTGATAAATTAATTAATAAGGATACTCGATAAAGGTACTTTTTTGTTTTGTTTATGTCCCCCTTTTTTGTAATAATGTATACCCGTTGTACGTTCGATTTGTTTTAACGATTTCCGTAATGTAGATAATTTTTGTCGACGTTGATTTAAAAATTTTTTAGAGCGGTTTCTGATGATGAACTGTTCAAAACAGTTCGAAACGTTAAATGTATTGACAGTGGAATAAATAAAAAGTCAAGAGGAATCTTCATGTATTTAAATTTTATAATCATCAAAGAATATAAATCCTCTTTAATCATATAACCAATTCTAATTACAATGTGATTCCTATATCACTACAGGAGAAGAATTTGGGTCTTATTATTGATAATACATTTCGATATCGGCAGCATATTTGAAGATTTATAGGTTTGAGGTTTCTAAACTTGAAGGTTTTGTATCCTTTTAGGAATGTCTTCAGCATCAAGCTTAAGACAATTTTATGTGAAAACACTGTGTTGTCTATTTTTAATTATTGCATTCCAGTCTTCGGTCCATGTCTTGACGTTGCTGAAGTGTCTTTTTAAAAATTTAAAATTTTTGCTGGAAGATATGTATTGTTGAAAAATAAACTATTATTATTATTATAATTATGAAATTCCCGGTAGTAATATTCACTATCAATTAGTAAGTAGTTACAAAATGGAAAACAGCCTGTACAATATTGAACTAAAACTAGACCTAACACTAGAAACTTTGGGGTTTTGCCCTGCGTCTTTTAAGAAAAGATTTGACGTTTCGGATGCCATGTTGCAACCTTCTTCAGAAACTGGTTCTAAGTGAACTGTGCATTTCTTAAAAGACGCAAGTAAAACTCGAAAGTTTCTAGTGTCAGTTCTAATTTTAGTTCAATTCACACCGGCCGTGAAACCCTTCGTACTTAGCTTATATAATAATTTTATATACGCTGTACAACGATTATCGTTCTCGCTGTGTATACCAACCCAGTTTATAAAACATAATGGTTTTATTAGATCGTTCTAGGAGCGATCAAAATTTAATTCTTGGTTCCGTATTATACATGTTTTATGATTTATAAAACATACCTAATTTTGTTTCTACAAAATCAGCAAAATACAATAAAATAACAGTTCATGAAAATTAAATATGACGTACCTACTTATTTAGAAAACCCAGGTTTATATATCACAAAACATTACAATATCGTATAGTGACATTATTGTTTCATTTTAATAATTTAATTAAGTTACAGATAATAAATAATAAAGCCACAATCAAAAAAATAAGTTAAATATATTATTTTAAGACATATTAATATTATATTTCCTAGTCTTCATCATCTTGTTCTCTGTAAAAGTCCTGGTTGGCAGCATCACCCCAAATCGTATAACACATCATATCAACTATAAAAAATCCACCGCAAGTCCAAAATACTACCCTCCAAGTAACAATGTTTCTAAGTTTTTCATCTAAAACACGATCCATTATTAATGGTGCAATAATAGCACCTAGAGATGCTCCAGTATTGGTGATAGCCATCAATCTTCCAGCAATTTTTGGTCCGATATCAACATGATTTATAAGATACCCGGTATTCATTCCGCAAAAGCAAATCATAATGATCATAATAAGCATAACAGCTACGACTAGGCTGCATTTAATGTAACTTAAACTCATAATGCAAATAAAACTTGGTGCACTAATCAGTAGTGTTGATATTTTCTTGGCCCAACATTGAGTAATCTTCTTTCTACGCACAAGGCTATCTAAAGTAATTCCTAAGAAGATTGTGCATACGCATTGGATACAGTACGCTAGGTTCGTGAATATAATTATTTGTTGCATGTTCATAAACAATACATCCCACATATAAATGACCATATCTTTCATGACTATTGTAAAAACTGTCCCGCAACTTGAGTGCATGACAAATAAAGCCCAAAATGGTTTATTTGTGAAAACTTTGCTCCAATCAACGCTGATTGGAGTTTTCCTTTTTATTATGTCTATAATTAGAAAAAATCAACCAAAAGTCTCTTGATAATGTATAACAAAATGTTGGATATCCTTTTTGCTTGAATTTTCATGAATTTTAAAATGAATGTATGTTGTGATCAAGATAAAGGAAAAATAATTTAATACAATTATATGACATCCCAAAAAAAAGAAATAACCAACATTTTATTACACAGTCTTGTTATTATCAACCAATGTTGGATAGAAGGATGTAATCGCGCTCTTTTTCTTTAATAAAAGGCGATTCTGATGGTTTATCATAAACCAGTCCACCCCATAAAATTAACCATAAACAACTACATCCTGTCATAATATAATAAGTATAATCCCAAGTAAACATTGTCATTAGGAAAGTAGATACCACTCTGCCCAAAACTGATCCAAGCATGGTACCTACAAATGCTATACCACCGATCGTATTTTTTTGTGAGTCCGGTGCCCATTCTGCCAATAAAATTGAGGTAGCGGGATATATGAATCCACTGGCAAATCCTTGAATAGTCCTGATTGAAAGGTGTGGCCAGAACAGTGAGGTAGGTACGAATGTGAACCCAAAGCAACAAATTATATTTATTACAATACTAGCGAACCACGTCCATTTTGCACTCATAAATTCTGCCATATATGCGCCGGGAAAGTTCCTAAACAAAGAAGACTGTTCTAAATTCTTATTATGACTACAAATTATTTACCCAAATATATAACCATAATTATATGAATCCATCAACCATTTTTGAAGGTCAACCGACATATCAAATATGCTAGTAACGTTACGTTCTAAATGTTTAGCACTTGGTTGATAACAGAATCCGGCCGATGTGCCGTTTACAAGCCGTACATAAGTATGATATACAATATTATTCATTAACGCATTAAAAGAGATCTTTAAACCAAATACAATTACCATTCCTATGCATATAAGTGAAGTCACTATGTACCTATAACCAAGAAACATTGTATTCTTCTATATAAAAAAGTCGTTATAAAATAAATTGTATTTATCAAAAGTGTGAAAGCTGTGACATGTATTAGACATTTGCTTTTATTTGTGACAAGTATTTATCTTTTTCTATTTAATACAATATGTAAAAAAATATTTGAGATAAAATAATAAATTTCCTATGATCAATGAAGTACATTCCCACCCGTTATATTGTTGCTATTTTAACGGCAGTGGGGTTAGCTATTGTTTATGGCTTGAGAGTGAATATAAACATTACAATGGTAATGATGGTAAATCATACAATCGCACATTCCAACGATACTGAAGGAAAACACAGCATTTGTGGTCCTTCCTTAAACGACAGTGATGAAATTGAACAGCATAATGGCGAGTACGAATGGTCAAATGAACTTCAAGGCTACGTTCTTAGCTCATATTATTGGGGATATCTAGTAATGATGTTCCCTGGTGCGAGATTGTGCGAATTGATGAGCGTTAAATGGATGTGGTTTCTTGCGGTATTTTTAAACGTCGTGGGTTGCCTCTTGTTACCTCTTGGTTCAGATCTACATGTTGGATGTGCGATCGCAGTGAGAGTGCTTCAAGGATTAGGTGGCGGAATAAGTTTTCCAGCTACTTCTTTATTATTGGCGTCATGGGTTCCATTATCAGAGAAAAACACCTTTGCCAGTATAGTATTCTCGGGGTCTACATTAGGAACGGTTTTTAGTATTATTATAACAGGAGTAATTGACATTTATTGTGGCTGGAGGGCTGTCTTTTATATTATGGGAGTTGCTTGTATTCCATGGTTATTTTTATGGTGGATTTTCGTTGGAAGTACTCCAGAAAGCACAAAATTTATTAACCCTGACGAAATTGAATATATACTGAGTTCACAAGGTCAACAAGTGGGTAAGAAAAAGAAAATAAAGATTATTTGGAAGAATATATTCACATCAATGCCCTTTTGGGCGTTATTGGTAGCGCACACTTGTTTCAATTGGAATTTTTATCTTCTACTGACAGACCTTCCAATATACCTACGTAAAGTATATGGTGCCACGATTGAAACTATTACAATATATTCATCAATAGGTTATTTTTCAAACTGGTTGTTCAGTCTAGCTTTAGGGAGAACACTTGATTATTTACGTAAACGAGAAAAAATAAATCAAACATGGGCAAAGAAAATAGCCAATTTATTTTCAACATTACCAATTGCGTTAGCCATGATCTGTTTATGCTACAGTGGATGTAACGAGCCATTTGGCGCTACCCTCCTTATATTGTCTCTTATGTTTTATGGAGGAATGTGGCCAGGAATCATGTCTAATCACGTTGATATTGGACCAAGAATTGCCGCTACATTAATGGGTATGACTAATACACCGGGTACTATGTCAGGAATCGGAGTGCCGATATTCGTTGGTTTTATTTTGGGTGATGGAACCGACATGCAATCATGGAGGATTATATTTTGGGTCGCAGTGGGTTTTTTTGCGATAGAAATCTTTTTTTACACCTTCTGGGGTTCTGGCGAAGTTCAAAATTACTATGAAGAACATGATGCTGAATAAATAACTTTATAAGTAAAATTCTGTTCAAATTATTTTTGTTCTGCAAACCGTATTCTAAATGTCACATATGTTCAAAAGATGAATGATGGTAATCCTAAATTGTTTAATATCCTGAAAATTATCAAATAAAAAAAGTTATTTTTGTCCACTTTATATAACCCAACCGTTTGTCGGTAGAAAGTAAACCCTTATAGCAAACATTTCTTGATCACGTCTGTAGCCACGGTCATTTGCTTTGCTCGTAACAACCCCACGAAGCAAGAAATATGTAGAACGCGGTGCTGACGTCTACCAACTTCGGGCAGAGCAGCAAAAATCCGGCGTACAATTCCCCTAACGGTTGAAATATTGTTTTTACGTGGCCGCATAAACCAGCCTCCGCCCCTCGTTTGCCGCAACATCTTGTTCGCGCAGATGTTCGTGGGTCCGAGGGGAAATAAATGCCGCCGCAGTGCTACCAACGAATAACATCGTGCGTCGCGACCCCACATTTTATATCCTGAGCAGTGGCGAGCCTCCATCCGGCCTGAGTACCCTTAGAGGAATTGATTTCGCATAAATCCCTTATGGCAGACTTCTTAGAAATTGTTTTTTTTTGTCTCGGCGTTGATTACCCAAGGAATTCGACAAAAAACATCGGCTTTTAGTGGAAGATATATAGCACTAATAATCACAGATATCAATCTTCTACAATAACGATCTCAATTCGCCATAAGTTAAGGGATGCTGTATAATCCATCCTAAAATAAAGTTTCACGTAATCTCTAACCTTTTACACGCCCCACCTTCTCGAAGTACACTTGATTTTGCGGGTCAACTCTCGTTGTAATCAAGGGTAGCCATTCTCCGACCTTCGCCACGACACTCTTTGTCGCAGAGATAAAGCGAGCTTCCGGTAAATTTACGACCGGGTTCACGGGTGTGGATAGAGTTGCAGAGCGAGCATCGATCTGGCGATACTCGAAGACGGTCACTAACTTCCCAATTTAACTCCCCGGCGGCCGGCTTAAATACAAATGCAAATGCAAACACAACATCGCGTGAATACCAGGACAAAGAGCACCGAATGTGTCTCGCCACAGATATGTTCTTGCAGGACGCATTATTGTCACTCGTCCTGTTGAAAACACAAGATTGGATTGCGGAAAGAAGATTGGAATCGGCGGTACTATTGAAATTGTATAAAAGGTCTACAAAACCATATCAGAATTAAAAAGATTAGGGTTTTGCAGTCTACATTACATTACATTACATTACATAGAATACATATCGGGTAGGCGGACCAACCAACCTTGCACCGCGACCCTAAGGATCTATTGTACCCCGATAGATATCGTTATCAAATTTCACCGTGCAGTCCAATGCTCTTAACGAACATTAATACCTTGCTCGGCGAAAGGTCATTCAGATCTTTTGAGGAGATAAACTGCGACCCAAAAATCGAGAATCTGATACGGTTAACGGCAGGGCAGTGGCATAAAACATGCTCAACCGTCTCTGCTTCCTCCGCACATAGTCGGCATTCAACATCGTCGGCTAAACCCAACAAGTTGAGGTGTGCTTTTAATCGGCAGTGCCCAGTAAAAACACCCATTAGAACTTTTATGCTACTACGGGCAAGTCCTAAAATATTCCCGGGTTTGACAGTGGCGATGTTAATAAACACCTTAGCATGTCTCATTCCAGGAGAACTGGTCCACAGTAGGCGAAGTCTCTCTTCAGCCCACAGTCCAATCCTATATTTGGCCATCGCAAATGATACACCAACTGCTGGTTCCGGTCCCACAAACGCTTCAGCGCTGCCATCTCGTGCTAGCTTATCTGCCGCTTCATTGCCAGCAACCCCAGAGTGACCCGGGACCCAGATCAGAGAGACTCTGTTATCACAACTCAGTGTGTTTAATGTTCTCTTACAATCATTAACCAGAGCCGACACCGTTTTCACGGCTTGCAGCGCCTGGAGAGCGGCTTGACTGTCTGAGAAAATTCGTACTGTCATGTTCTTCACCCCTCTTTCAAGAAGGATTTTAGCACCCATGTCAATAGCAAATACTTCCGCCTGGAATACAGTACAGTACGTACCCAGGCTGTAGGCTTGCTTAATTCGAGGTGTCTGGCAGTATACTCCTGCTCCTACCCCTTCAGGCGTTTTTGATCCATCTGTGTACAAGCAAATGTCTGCCCGAACCAGAGAATTTTCATTTTCGATCCAGGACTGCCGCTCAGGCAGTACAATCTGGTATCGAGCATTAATCACTGATAGTGATACCGCCAAATCTGACGGCATTGATAGCACAGTATCAGTGCTTATAATGTCTTCCGCAGCCCATTGGTAGGACATGTCGGAACAGTTTTGAGCATATTGCTTAAATCTGTAAATGGTTGTTCTAGCCACTTTCTCTATATGCAAATGCAGAGGAGATAGGCCAAGCAGAACCTCCATTGCTAGAGTTGGCGTTGTGCCTATCGCACCAGAGATTGCCAATCCAGCTACTCGTTGAATTCGTGAAAGTTTACTGATAACTGAAGTCTGTCGGACTTTCCTATACCAGGCTGCTGCTCCGTATGTGATCATAGGTCTAACCACAGTCACATAGAGCCAGTACAGTCTTTCAGGGGTAAGACCCCAATTTTTTCCACAAAGACTGCGACAAGTCCACAAGGATAGTCTAGCTTTGTGCAAAACTCCCTGCAAATGTCCATTCCATGACAGGGTTTTGTCTAGGATTACTCCTAGATATTTGACTTCCTTTGAGAAAGGAATTTCTTCACCTTGGATAGTTGGGCGGATTAGTCCATCCAACTTTCGCTTCCTGGTGAAGGGCACAACAATTGTCTTTTGCGGGTTTATTGAGAGGTTCTCTCCCTTACACCAAGCGCAAATGGTATCTAGGGTCACCTGGAGGACTTTAGATATCCTCGGCAAACAGGTTCCTTTGACCATAACGACAATGTCATCAGCATAAGCTTGTATTTCCACACCAACGGCTTCGACTATCGCAATCAGATCGTCAACTAGGAGGGACCAAAGCAGGGGAGATAACACCCCTCCCTGCGGGCAGCCACCTCCCGGCCTGAAGCGTATCGTATCACCGTGGAGTGAAGTAGAAACTATTCTACTATCTAGCATATTGCGGATCCAACCCGCTATAGTTGCTTCCACTCCCCTGTCAAGAGCAGCTCTTTCAAGAGATTGTGGTATTGCGTTGTTGAACGCTCCCTCTATATCCAGAAACGCACAAACCAAGATTTCTTTATCCTGCAGCGTCCTGGATACTCTACCAACTAAGTTGTGTAGAGCCAATTCTGCTGATTTTCCCGCTTGATAAGCATACTGGTGGCGACTCAGTGGACCAGATACCAATGGCACCGTACGGATATACCGTTCCAGAACTTTTTCAAGGGTTTTCAGCAGAAATGACGTTAGGCTGATGGGTCGAAAGGCATTAGAAGTAGGGACCGAACGGCCCGCTTTGGGTATGTAAGATACCCGTACCTTAGTCCATTCTGCCGGCACATATTTCCAGGCGACACTCGCTCTGAAAATTTTTACCAAAATTGGCAACAACAAAGACCTCCCCTGCTGTAACAAAGCAGGAAAGATATTGTCTTCTCCAGGCGATTTGAACGGCTTAAACGTTTGAATTGCCTGGTCCACGGATGTGTAAGTGACGACTTTTCTAGCCACACTCCAATCCGTATTTGAGGGGCGCTTTGCCTTGCAGGAATAGCCCGCTGTGGCATTATCGGCCCTCATCATCAGGCTTCCTGGGAAGTGAGTCTGCATGAGAAGCTCCAACGAGGCTCTGCTAGAGTCCGTAAAACTACCGTCAGGCCGCCTAAGTGAGCCCAGGGGTAGTGCCGGATCTCTAGCGAGAATCTTGTGAATTCTTGCACTGCTGGGTGTGTCTTTCACTCCCTCACAGAACCTCCTCCAAGACTCTCTTTTTGCCTTACGTATGTTTTTGGTGTAATTCGTTAGAGCCTGTTTATATTTCTCCCATTCACCTAATGTCTTGGCCCGGTTGAAAAGCTTTCGGACCTCTTGTCTTTCGGAGCTAAGAGATTCGTTCCACCAGGGTGTGCCCCGATTACTACTTTTCACCTTCAGTGGACTGCTACTGTGATATGCAGAGCGAATTGCCACAGAGATCTGCTCCGTGGCTATTTCAACCTGATCACAGTTCCTAACGGTTGCGATAACACTAGTTAGGTTATCTGCAAGGCAACTCTTAAACAGATCCCAATTAGTGCTACGGGGATTACGGTACGTACAGTCCGATTTCATCCCTAGATCAATTTTAAATTGAATATGTCTATGATCTGAACACGACGGTTCAGAGGATACCCTCCAGGAGGTTATCTTAGAGCTTAATATAATTGAGCTGAACGTAATGTCAAGTACCTCTGCTCTATTTCTGGTAACAAAGGTTGGTTTGGCGCCTACATTATTAACAGTAAGCCCCTCCCCTAATAGGTAGTCAAAAAGTAACTCACCTCTTTCATTTGTGTTGGTGCTTGCCCACATTGTGTGGTGTATGAGAGATACATGTATGAGACTTACTTTTTGGGCAGTTTAACTTCAATAGTTTATAAATTCCCACAACGTTTTATTCCTAAGAGAGTTTCCGGAATGTCGAGTACATCGCAAACCAAGGTACTTATCGTAAATACAATAGATGTCGCAACACAGTTTCTAAATAATGTACAGAACTTCCCGGGATTAGAACTAGTACATATTAAATTTCACCTGTTTGTTTGTGAAGCCCTTACTTCGTTATTCCATTCTGTTCTATTTTTATTTTGACGCGTTTCTTTCGGAAACGTCCTGCAAAAGGAAACTGGTGTTCTCGTTATTTCAAATGCCCTTCTTGTTATAAAGCGGAAGACGATAACAAAATGGGCATGGCGTAAGACGAATCCTCACTCGGCTTTACGATTCTTTTTACGACCCGAAGGGATCAAAAAAAATGTACTCGAGATTGGCTTGAGTTATGTAGTACTAAAGAAAGAGCTAT